CACCATCACCCTGATACCAAAACCAGAGAAAGACACTACCAAAAAAGAAAATCATAGGCCAGTATCTTTAATGAATATAGATGTGAGAATCCTCAACAAAATATTAGCATACCAAATCCAACAATACACAAAAAGGATCATATATCATGATCAAGTTGGATTCATTCCAGGGCTGCAACGATGGTTCAACATACACAAATTAATCAATGTGATACACCACATTAACAAAAGGAAAGACAAAAGACACATGATCATCTCAACAGATCAGAAAACGCATCTTACAGAATTCAACACCCATTCATGATAAAAACTCTCACCAAAGTGGGTATAGAGGGAACATATCTCAATATAATAAAAACCATTTAAGACAAATCCACAGCCAACATAATACTTAACAGTAAAAAGCTGAAAGCCTTCCCACTAAATTCAGGAATAAAGCAAGGAGGCCCACTCTCACCACTTCTATTCAACATAGTATTAGAAGTTCTAGCCACAGCAATCAGAGAAGAAAAATAAATAAATAAATAGATAGATAAAAAATAAAAGGTATCAAAATTGGAAGGGAAGAGGTTAAACTGTCTCTATTTGCAGATGACATGATACTCTGTACAGAGAACCCTAAAGTCTCCACATAAAAAGCAATCAGAACTAATAAATGAATTCAGCAAGGTAGCAGGATACAAGATTAATATACAGATATCTGTTGCATTTCTTTATACTAATAATGATATATCTGAAAGAGAAAATAAAAAAAAAATCCCATTTAAAATTGTGCCAAAAAAATATCTAGGAATAGAAGGAAAAAAACAGGAAAAACTAAAACTACCTAAGGAAACTTGACCAAGGAGGTGAAGGACCTAGATGCTGAGAACTATAAAACACTGATAAAGGAAAGTGAAGATGATTCAAAGAAATGGAAAGATATCCTATGCTCTTGGATTGGAAGAATTAATATTGTTAAAATGGCCATACTACCCAAGCAATCTACAGATTTAATGCAATCCTTATCAAAATACCCATGACATTTTTCATAGAACTAGAACAAATAATCCCAAAATTTATATGGAACTACAAAAGACCCAGAATTGCCAAAGCAAGTCTGAAGAAAAAGAACAAAGCTGGAGGTATAACCTTTCGAGACTTCAGACTATACTCAAAGCTACAGTAATCAAAACAGCATGGAACAGAACAGAGAACCCAGAAATAAACCCACACACCTCTACAACAAACGAAGCAAGAATATAAAATGGAGAAAAGACAGTCTCTTCAACAATTGGTGTTGGAAAAGCTGGACAGCCTCATGTAAATCAATGAAGTTAGAACACTGCCTCACACCATATACAAAAATAAACTCAAAATGGTTTAAAGACCTAAATGTAAAACATGACACCATAAAACTCCTAGGAGAAACATAGGCAAAACATTCTCTGATATATATTGTAGCAATATTTTCTTAGATCAGTCTCCCAAGGAAAATAAATAAAAGCAAAAATAAACAAATGGGACATTATCAAATTTAAAAGCTCTTGCATAGCAAAGGAAACCATAAACAAAACGAAAAGACAATCTAGAGAATGGGAGAATATCTGTAAATGATGTGACCAACAAGGGGTTAATATCTAACATATACAAACAGCTCATACAACTCAATATTGAGAAAACAAACAACCCAATCAAAAAATGGGGAGAAGACCTAAATAGATACGTTTCTAAAGAAGACATACAGATCGCCAACAGGCTCATGAAAAGATGCTCAACACTGCTAATTATTAGAGAAATGCAAATCAAAACTGCAATGAGGTATCACCTCACACAGAAGATTATACTTAGTGAAGTAAGTCAGACATGTATCAAATACTACATGATATGACACATGTGGAATCTAAAAAATAATACAACTGAGTCTATATACAAAACAGAAACAGACTCAGACATAGAAAACAAATTTATGGTTACCAAAGGGGAGAGGGAGGGTGGGAGGGACAAATTCGGAGTATGGGATTAACAGATACAAACTACTATACATAAAATAAACAACAAGGATTTACTGTATAGCACCGGGAATTACATTCAAAATCTTGTAATAACCTATAATGGAAAATAATCTGAAAAAAAACTGAATCACTATGCTGTACACCTGAAACTAACACAATATTGTAAATCAACTATACATCAATAAAAAATCTAAGAAAAAAACAGCACTGGTGTACTGTTCATTATCAAACAACCTGTTAGCTAGTCAATATTCACATCCTGTAACCCGAGTAGGAAAAAGTGACACTTCTAAAGGGGCAACAAGGGCTTTAATTAGAATACATGAACTTATTTCATTCATACTATGTATCCATTTTACGTCATCTCTACCCTCAAATCTGAAAGTAGAAGAGTAGAAGAAACAAACAGGGTAACAGACTATTACGATCAATACAATAAGTGTAAAGAAATAGGGTTATGATGATGATACTGATATGAAGGAAAGTTAGCCCAGGCAAGGAGGAAGGACATAGGCAAGTCAGGCCTATTGGAGAGGTGACACTGAGCCACTTCTTAAAGGCTGAGTGGATGTTAGGCGGTAAAAGCATGGCAAGAGGGGTGGGATTTCCATTCAGAGGAAAGAGGATGTACAAAGAGAGATGTGAGAGATGATAGCATCTGGTGAAGGAAGAGTAAATGGGGGTGAACAGGAGAGGTAAGGAATCTGGAATTTTATGCTGATAGCAATAGGGTATCAGTGAATGTTGATAGGCAAGGACAGAAAAGAAAAACATAGGCAAGGACAGGATATGGTCAAATTAGCATTTTATAAAGATATTCTCTGGATAAACTGGATTCTGGGAGAATAGAGAGAGGAAAATCATTTAGGAGATTATTGGAGTCACCTAGGTGAAAAATGGTGATTATCTGTGAATACAAAGAAAGAAGGGATATATTTAAGTGATATTAAGGAGTAAAAATTGTATTGATTTGTTGATAAAATGGAAAGCCAAGGATAAAGGAGAGGAAAGACTTTAGAATGATTCCTAGGATGGCAGTATCATTCACTGATACCAGGACATACAAGAAGAGAGAACAAGGCTGGGTGGAACATCAAGGTCCTTTCCAGTTTGTGGAGTTTGAGCTGCCAATTGAACATGCACACAGAGCAACTTGGTAAGGAATAGGTCCCTGGTAGGAGAGAGATCTGGGTTGTACCTTAAAATTTTAGAGTCACATAGACGGAAACTGAAGCCATGGGAATGGCAAAAATAGCCCAGGTAAATTGTGTGGAATAAAAAGAGATCTTAAGATGCAACCTCAAAATATAAAGTGTTGGTTGAGAAAGAGTTGCCTGTGAAAGAGCCTGAAAAGGACATTCAGAGAAGTAAGAGGAATATCAAGAAAGAATAAAGTCAAGAAAAGAAAAGCAGAAATTTCAAAAAGGGAGGAGTCAATAGTCTGGAATGCTGTAATGACATAAAATAAGGGCCAAGGGGTGTGCACTGGATTTGACAACAAAAAAATTCATCAACGAGCTTAGTAAGTAGTTTCAGTGGAGGGGTGAATATGAAAGCCCCACTGCAGCAGACTGAGGCTCTAACAGAAGATAAGAATGAGGAGACAGTATAGATTACTTTTTCAAGAAGCCTGGCTATCAGGGAAAGGAGAAAGATTGAGTAGGTTCTAGAAATGTCAATAGAAGCCAGGGAGACTTTTTTTCATTTCTTAAGATGGGAGAGACTGGATTATCTTAATGTGAAGAAGAAAAGATCCCACCTCAGCCAAATAAATAATTAAAAGGGAGATATGGAGATAGGAAAAAAAATCTTTATATGTACCAAATTATTGTAATTTCAAGCCTTGCTTCTCTTGAAACTGTATGTGTTCATCATTCTATCTCTATAATTTAGCATAGTGCTTAGGTTATAGTGGGAATTCTAATATATGTTGAATGAATAAGCGCATAAAAGAATTTATAGAAGTAAAGTAGTAACAGATAACACTGAAAAGGAGAGCACATAAATTGGGAGAATTATTGCTTGCTGTTTTATTTCCCCTGTGGAGTAATACCCAGGTCATCTGCTGAAGGCAAGGGAAGAAGACTATAGGAGAACGATTAAAGATCCAGTCACTGTCACAAATGAGGAGGGAGTTGACTGAGGTACACAAAAGTCTTGCCAGGCAGAGCAGAGGATTCAGTTGAAGCTGGAAACCGTGCATGTGTAATAGCACCTGGAACAGCACAGGAGTTATTTTATTTGCAACAGGTATTGACTGGATAGAGAATGTAAACAAACCAGGAGGGGATTCCAACTTGGGGGAAAATGGAGGCGACAATTGACTGAAGTTCTCTCCCAGCTAAGGGCTGATACTGTGGGAGAAAATGAAGGAGGTGAGAGGATGAAAAGTTGTGGCCGGAGAGCGGCATGTTAAATTTCACAGAAGGAACAACTCTAGTAGTGACAAACCACAGGTTACAGCCCTGGACCTAAGTGGATAAAGTGTAGAGGTAAAGATTATTAGAGATGAGGAGGTTAAGGTACCGTGAGGCCAGAGTGACAAGTAGCTTATCCACATGGACTCTGAGCTCACCCAGGATGATGGCAAGACACAGAGGATGATGGTGAGCCTGGTGCCATGATTTTCCGTGACAGATGGTAGATAACAACGATAGATGGGATAGATAATGATGAGGAAGTTGGCTGGAAGGTGACAGCCAAAATGGAAATGGTCTCAAAGGAAAAGATTTTCTTTAAAAAAAAAAAAAAAAAAAGCAGAAACATAATGGATGTGGGAGTGGGGAGCTGAGATAATGCACACCTATCTTCCTCTGTGGTATGAGGGGTATAGGAGTTGAGAAACCTCCCATTCAAATTGCTTGAGGGAGACTCATTATTTGGGGGAAGAGACCCAGATTAAAAAAGATAAGACAGAAGATGACGTCATAAATCCTTCATGCAACATCATTCAACTGCCACTGATGGCTGTCTTGTTATTAATGGGAATCAGCAAGTTGCACTCACCATTATTTGGTAGATACCTCCCTGTACACTGCTGTAACTCTATAGTCTTTTCGGAAGAAAATCAACCAGCCATCTCAGGTACAAGATCCTAAAACATAATTTAAAAGGTCTTAATATTTCTAAAATTTAGAGGCTTATGGTTAAAACAGAATGAAGTAAACTCTTTAGGCAAACTTTACAATTCTCCCTCATTCCCCATTCACTGCTAGGGATTGGACAGTAACCTTAAGAATTTCCTGTTGCTCTTTCCATCTGTCCCTCAAATCCTTCTCTTACATGGCCCTAATAGAGACCACTATTTTTTTCTGACATGTAAAAGTTAAATAACTTGGGACTGAATAGGAGGATTCAGAAATTCTGAAGTGGTTAGTAAATGCCTGAAAATGCTATATCCCATAAATTTTATATATATATATATATAAATGCTCTATAAAAACTTTCTGGGCTTCCCTGGTGGTGCAGTGGTTGAGAGTCCACCTGCCGATGCAGGGGACACAGGTTCGTGCCCTGGTCTGGGAAGATCCCACATGCCGCGGAGCGGCTGGGCCCGTGAGCCATGGCCGCTGAGCCTGCGCGTCCGGAGCCTGTGCTCCGCAATGGGAGAGGCCACAACAGTGAGAGGCCCACGTACTGCAAAAAAAAAAAACAAAAAAAAAACTTTCCCTTCTGCTTTACAATGGGGTAAAAGGATTTCTGTGATCTCCAGAAAGCTATTCCTTTGAAATGAGCTTGAAACATCATATTGCCCCTCCTCGTGATATCTCTGGACTTCGTGATGATACTGTTTCCCTGGTTATTATGAATCAGCTGCTTTTGCCTCTTATGAGCTATGCTGAGACCTTTAGAAGGTCATTGTACTTGGGAGAAGTAGACTTACCTGACCCATTGTTGGTGGTTCAAGGCAGCCTTCTTAGAGCACTCAGTGACCAAGCTGTGACCTGAAGCAACAGAAAGCAAGCACATTTAACAGACTGAGGACTACAAGAAGTTTGATATATTTAGATTTTAGAGTACACAGTAAGGAATGGCAGGAGACTTGAGATATAAGTAGGGGCTTCAGAAGCCACGTTAAGGAATGTGGTTTGTACTTTCTGTTGGAGGAGTGGGATAGGTATGAGCAGGAGTTTCTGCTGATTTCCACTTCTTCCATACCACTCAGTGGCTGATGCAGACCGCGGAGTCCACACAGAGAGTACAACTCTACCTCCACAGCATCTGCAACCCCCCCAAACACACGCCTAATCCACCCACTTTCCCAAGCTGCAGGACCTTAAATCTTCAAGTATTATCAAACAAGAAAATAAAGGACTGGGTCTGCCCTCAGCTATTAGTCCAACTGTATCATCAGTACGAGAGGTCTGTAAGGGAAACTGGTCCATAGGTTCTGTACAACCTTTTCTAGATGGGGTCCAGGTAAGTGATAAGGATTGGGGAGTTACAGAGTTCAGAAGCTGCAGAAGGAAAAGTGTAATGTTAAAAATTTGATCTAATCATTTAAAAAAACTCCAATGATGCCACAATGCAGAGATAACAGGGATTCCTTACCGACTTTAAATTAGGTTACTGCCACTGATAAATGGAAGACTGAAAGTTTAACATGTCCATTCTGTTAGCAGGTTTGCATGAGACCAAGTGCTATTTGCTTTCATCTGATCCTATTCTGCTCTTCCTGGGAAGCTCAAGGTGGCCACGAGAAAAAGGGCACTGTTAGGTGAACAATGGTAAGAAGCCATTCTAGTTTCCTCCTTCCCACCTTCCTGAGTCAGGCACTTTTACTTCCATTGCTGTGAGATCATAGAGAGAAAAGTTGTATTCCCAGAGGGGTCTAAAGTATCATGCTAACCTTAACAGGCAAATCCAAGTCATACCTAGTCCCAAGTTAATCACTAGTGCAAATCAAAAAATACCTAAATAAATAAATTTCAGGTGACTTTCTAATAAACAATAGAAAGACATAGATTTCCCTTCTCAAATATCAAAGTTGTTTGGGACCTGGGATACTTCTAAAAATTTATTATTGAGATTGATTTTCTTTTTCAGGGAACAAGAAGAGAAACAAAGGTTTATTGAGTACTTGATGTCTATCAGTTGCTCAGGCTCATGCTTTATATAATTTTTATATTGATCATATACCTTGATCATATCACTCACTCTGAGCCTCAGTTCCTCATCTATAAAATGAGAATAATTATTAATTATTAGTAATGATTTAGGCTCACAGAGATTGAGTGATATGATCGAGGTCCTATACAGTATATAATGCGTTTTGCAGGCAGTACTGAAACCAAGTCTTTTTGTTTCTAAAACACATGTTCTTTTTACTGCACTACACTTCTATTCCAGTGACCAGATACATCTATTTTTTCTAATCTAGAAAAAAAAAGATTGGATCCATTATCCATGGTCTTCTAAATTCACAAATCACCATAAGTAGTGGATTACCTGAGAGACTATTTAAACCCTGGCTCTAGAGTAACCATAAACTTTTCTTCTCTTCTCCAAGTTGAAAGTACACTAGGGTGATGGTTCCCAAATAATGAGGTTTTCATTATCTTTGGCAAAAGAGAGAAGTACAAAGATAAGGTAGTCAATTTTTTTCATATGTAAAGGACTTCCCATTATTCTCAAATTATGATCTCTCTTTCCTGGCCCACCCACTTTCTCCCTCTCTTTCTGTGTGTGTGTGTGTATGTCTGTGTGCATATTTGGATGTATTTTCCTTTTTAAATGAAATAACGGATTTGGTCGAAGGTAGTTTACTGTTTAATATGCTTGAGAAAATAAAAAGTGGGCAACTCCTCTGAAAGAGTGTGCCCAATAGATATCAAAATTTTAAAAACGTGGACTTCCCTGGTGGTCCAGTGGTTAAGAATCTGCCTTCCAATGCAGGGGAACGTGGGTGCGATCCCTCATTGGGGAACTAAGATCCCACATGCCGCGGGGCAACTAAACCCGCACACTCTAGAGCCCACGTGTTGCAACTACTGAGCCCGCACTCTCTGGAGCCCACACACCACAACTAGAGAGCCCATATGCCACAACTACTGAGCCCGCACACTGCAACTACTGAGCCCACACGCTCTAGAGCCCGGAAGCCACAGTTAGAGAGAGAAGCCCACGCAGCACAATAAAAGATCTCACATGCCACAAAGAAGATCCTGCATGCTGCAACAAAGACCCAATGCAGCCAAATAAACAAATAAATAGATAAATATTTCTTTAAAAATTTTAAAAACTTTATTCTATTTCCCAATGTCCTGTTCAAATCTGTTAGATACGTCCCTCCCCTGACCCTGAATGAAATCTTGGGCATGCTCTATAGTTTCTCTACTGAGCTTTAGTTAATAAGAGGTTTTCTGGTCACATTCATGCACAATAATAGTCTCTTTTTAATAATGAGTATGTTCGGGCTCACTAATAATCAAAACTGCACACTTCACACTAAGTTAATGTTTTTTCCCGCACCAGCTAGGGCATGCTCCAGGTTGGAAGCCTGCAGTGGGGGCAGGGACAGATACAGTGACCTCCTTCTCTCTTCACCTTTCTAGCTACCCTCTATACGCCCAACCCACCCAACACACACATTGAGTTTTGGCTTAGGACAGCACCAGGTTTGGGGATGAGAGGGAGTGAGAGTAAAACAAAGGAATGGTTTTAGTTAATGGCATAGCTGACATCTGGCTTTTGTTTTTTCTGCACGTGGCACATGTTTAAAGATGTTCTTTCTCTTATGGGAGTTGTCATGTTATCCAGCCACATTGCTACCTCTTGAATTTTTTCTCAGTGGCCTATCACCATTCAAGACCAAAACAAAAATATAATGGGTCCCTATTGTGTGTCACACACTGTACCAGGTGCCAGGATATTTACCCAAAGCCCTGGCTACCCAAAAACACAATGCAAAAGGACGTATTAGAAAAATAAATATTCAGTATCAATATCCTATTAACCTTAACTTTTCAGCTGTGTTTGGTCATGAAGTCTTACTTTACAAGGTAATTGCTATTGTAAAAAAGGGATACGTCATTAATAGTCTCACTTCCCAGATGTTATTTGATATGTGCTCTAAATTATGTTACATTCAACACAGTGTGCACTTTGAACTTGTAAGCGGAAAAACTATCTGCAGACAATATGCATTCTAATCCTTGAAATAAATGTGCCCACAATCATGGTTTAAGACACAGTAGGTATGCTTATCATGCTTTAATGCAGCTGAATTTCAGGAGAGGAGCTAAGAAATTTATAGAAACTAGAGAAACTATGATGGTTTGGCATTAATGTAGTTAAGTGACCTCTTGAACTTTAAACTTCCACATCACAGTATGAAGTTGGTTCTAAGATAAGAAATAGCATAAATTCTCTCCTAAGGACAGCCCTGAATCTCTGAATGCCTAGAGGCTCAATCAGCTGGAGACCATGGCGTTCGACGGTACTTGGAAGATAGACCGAAACGAGAACTATGAAAAGTTCATGGAAAAAATGGGTAAGGGCTTAATACTTTAATGGCTTGTTCTTTTGTTTCTCACAGACATCTTTCTAACTCCTTCTAAACCTTAAGGCTTAGAGAATGACACCTGCTGTGGAGGTGCGGCTCAGGAATGGTTGATGGTTCAGAGTAGCAAAAACCATATTCCCACTTCTTACATTGGAAGGAATACACTGCCTCACCACTGGAAGAAAAGATTCTTGGGTGCTATTCTCTGAAACACAAAAAACACCCAGATACGTTTCATTCACATTAACTGCTGATTGAAAATTGACAGTTTTTTTGTTTGGAAAGTAAAATATGGCAGTGTGTAATGATAACTTCCAGACTTTAAAACATTAAATTCTAGGGAATGGAAAAGCAAAGTCCATAAAATAAAGCAATGAAAATGAGTTCTATCAAAAGTCACAGCTCTGAATAAATGAGACTTAATTCTCGACATAATAAATTTGACTGTAATGTTTGCTAATTTTCTCATTTTTTAGACAGTTGGAAATGCCACAAAAAACAAAGAGAATTATGAAGTTCAAAATTTTAAAGCCATTATGGAAAGCAAAAGGACATTAAAAAAAAACAAAGAGTACCATACATGTAGAATTAAAGTTGTATATCCTTATAAATATATAAATATACTTTTAAAATCCTTCACTTGACACTCCTGGAATTTGGTTTACTTAGCACTGAAACAAAAATATTGATAATTTTTTTAAAAATTACTCAGTTCTAAGATTCAACAATTCTTGCTTCATTTAATTTTTCTTAAGTTTTGGAAAAACAGCTTGATATGATTGAGCCTGAACTTTTTCTACAGAAGCAATCTGGATGCTCTTGTGCAGAGGCAATGCTATCAGGTTTTCCTCCCCCCTCAAAATATTAATTGATTAACTAGTTAAAACAAAACTTGGAAAAGTAAGCATTTTCCATGGCATTTTTTTACTTTATTTCCTTAAATCTCTTTCCCTTTGCAGGTATTAATGTGGTGAAAAGGAAGCTTGCATCTCATGACAACTTGAAACTGATAATTACACAGGAAGGAAATAAGTTCACAGTCAAAGAATCAAGCACTTTTCGAAACATTGAAGTTGTGTTTGAGCTTGGTGTCACTTTTAATTATAGCCTCGCAGATGGAACTGAACTCACTGTAAGAAATTTTTGATAAGCAATGTATTCTTGATTTTTCTACACAATACTAAAATAATCTCTGCTTTCTGTCATTGGATGGTTTAATTAATGTAGGTCTCCTTCATTTACTGAAGCAGCCAATGGAGTTTATCCATATTATATATCAAACAAGTTAGTTAGCAGAGTATTTAAACATAACATTTTGATTTTCATACACATCTGTAAAGGATTAAACAATAAGAATTAGAAAAAATATCTTTGAATGACTGAGTATACACCTCTTCATAAAGAAAACTAAAGTTCAGTGTTTTCAACTTTACATATCTG